ATAAAGGCTGTTTGCAACTCCCACTGGGCAGAGTGGAGCAGGCAATACAATTAGGATGTGCACTCAAGCAATGCCACTTAGAGATTTTCTACAGCCTCTTGGAATAAGTTCCTTCACTGAAATGCCAATGAGCCATGAAACCAAGCAGGGAGCTATGGACCAGGAACAGGTCCAGGTCACGTAGGCGGCCAACAACTGGAGGGGGCACGTGGCACTAGGAGCCCAGATGGCTAAGCTCCTTTTAGCACTGAGCTCGGGGCACATGGACACCTTGCTGGTCCCACCCTCAGGGCATACTTTAACAACTCAGGATGCAACCTGGAGATAGTGATGGAGGAAAATCCAAAGAGAATATAAAAAGGAATGAGATAGCCGAGGCCACACCAAAGGAAGGACTCAGAAGGTCGCAGGGTAGAAATGTGACAGGATACATTTACAATGGAAATGCTAAGGCAAGCAGCTAGAAATGTGTGTAAACAGATACAACCTGCCATGTAAACCATAGGAAGAATATTTTTTTATGCTGCTGTAGATTTAGAAATCTTTTATTTTTTACATTATCTTTACGGTAACAGTTTTTTGTTGTTGTACACTTCTATGAATTTTAACACAAACATAGAGAAGTGTAGCACCAAAATTGATACTGAACAGTTCCATCACCCCCCCAAAACTCCCCTATGCTATCCCTTTCTGCTCACACCCTTCCCCACCCTATCCCTTGTCAACCACGTTTCCATCACTGTATTTCTGCCTTCCAGATTGTGGCATAAATGAGATGTATGGGACCTTTGAGACTGGCTTTTTTCACTCAACATAACACCCCTGAGATTCACCTGAGTTGTGTTGTGCATCAACAGTTGATCTGTTTTTACTGCTTAATTAACAAATACAGGTGGACCTGGGAGATACTGCAGGTTGGATTCCAGAACACAGCAATAAAGCGAATACTACAATTAAGTGAGTCACAGCCATTGTTTGGTTGCTGTGCATATAATAGTTACATTTATAATGCATATAAAAGTTATGTTTACATTATACTTTAGTCTATTAAGTGTACAGTAGCATTATGTCTAAAAAAACCATGTACATACCTTAATTAAAAAATACTTTATACTACAAAGCTACAGTAATCAAAACAGTATGGTACTGGCACAAGACAGATCAATGGAACAGGACAGAAAGCCCAGAAATAAACCCACACACTTATGGTCAATTAATCTATGACAAAGGAGGCAAGAATAGACAATGGAGAAAAGACAGTCTCTTCACTAAGTGGTACGGGGAAAACTGGACAGCTACATGTAAAAGAATAAAATTAGAACATTCTCTAACATCATATAGAAAAACAAACTCAAAGTGGATTAAAGACCTAAATGTTAAGACCAGATACTATTAAACTCCTAGAGAAAAACATAGGCAGGACACTCTTTGACATAAATTTCAGCAATATTTTTTTTGGCTCCATCTCCTAGAGTAATGGAAATAAAAACAAAAATAAACAAATGGGACCTAATTAAACTTAAAAGCTTTTGCACAACAAAGGAAACCATAAACAAAACGAAAAGACAACCTATGGACTGGGAGAAAATATTTGCAAACAATGCTACCAACAAGGGATTAACGCCCAAAATATACAAACAGCTCATACAGCTTAATATCAAAAAAAAACCCAATTAAAAAACGGGTAGAAGACCTAAACAGACATTTCTCCAAAGAAGACATACAGATGGCCAAAAGGCATATGAAATGATGCTCAATGTCGTTAATTATTAGAGCAATGCAAATCAAAACGACTATGAGGTACCACCTCACTCCAGTCAGAATGGCCATCATCAAAAAATCTACAAATAAATGGTGGACAGGGTGTGGGGAAAGGCAACCTTCCAAACTGTTGGTAGAAAGGTAAATTGGTGCAGCCGCTATAAAGAACAATATGGAGGTTCCTTAAAAAACTAAAAACAGACTTAGCATATGACCCATCAATCCCACTCCTGGGCATATATCTAGAGAAAACTCTAATTTGAAAAGATACATGCACCGCAAAGTTCATAGCAGACCTATTCACAATAGCCAAGACATGGAAACAACCTTATGTCCATCAACAGATGAATGGATAAAGAAGATGTGGTATATATATATATGATGGAATAATACTCAGCCATAAAAAAGAATGAAATAATGCCATTTGAAGCTACATAGATACACTTAGAGATTATCATACTAAGTGAAGTAAATGAGACAAAGACAAATATGATATATCACTTGTATGGGGAATCTAAAAAAATAATACAAAAAAACTTATTCACAAAATAGAAATAGACTCACAGGCATAGAAAACAAAATTACGGCCACCAAAGGGGAAAGCTGGGGAAGGGATAAATTAAGAGTTTGGGATTAACATACATATACTACTGCTATATATAAGACAGATAAACAACAAGGACCTACTATATACTACAGGAAACTATATTCAATATCTTGTAATAACCTATAATGGGAAAGAATCTGAAAAAGAATATATATATGTATGTATATGTGTGTGTATATATATATATATATATATATATATATACACACATACACACACATACATATATATGTATACAGTCACTTTGCTGTACATCTGAAACTAACATAACATTGTAAATTAACTATACTTTTTTTTTTTTTTTTTTTGCGGTATGTGGGCCTCTCACTGTTGTGGCCTCTCCCGTTGCAGAGCACAGGCTCCGGACGCGCAGGTTCAGTGGCCATGGCTCACGGGCCCAGCCGCTCCGTGACATGTGGGATCTTCCCAGACTGGGGCATGAACCTGTGTCCCCTGCATCGGCAGGTGGACTCTCAACCACTGCGCCACCAGGGAAGCCCAACTATAATTTAAAAAATTTCTTCATATAAAGAAAACCTTTATTGTTAAAAAAAATGCTAACTATCATCTGACAAGGCAGGGTTGCCACAAACATTCAATTAGTAAAAGAACACAATTATTTGCAAAGTGCAGTAAAGTAAGGCGCAGTAAAACAAGGTCTGCCTGTATACTGTATGAATGTATTGATATCACAGTTTATCCATTCACCTGCTGAGGGATGTTTTGGTTGTTTCTAGTTTTTGACAATTATGAATAGAACCACTATAAACATTCATGTACAGGTTTTTATATGGACAATTCCTTTGTTTCTCTAGGATGAATACCCAGGAGTAGTACTGCTGGGTATTATGGTAAGTGTATATTTAGTTTCATATGGAATTGCCAAAATATTTTCCAGGATGGCTGTAGTATCTTGCTTTCCTTCTAACAATATAAGCAATATAAGAGTTCCAGTTTCTCCACATCATTGGCAGCACTTGGTATTGTCGATCTTTTAAATTTTAGTCATTCTAATAGGTCTGTAGAGGTATCCCACTATATATGGTTTTAATCTGCATTTCCCTAATGGTTAATGATGCTGACCATTGTTTCATTGCTTATTTGCCATCCTTATGTCCTTTTTAGGGAAGCATCTGTTCAATCCTTTGCTCATTTAAAAATTATGTTTGTTTTATTTTTGCTGCCTTTTGCAAGTTCTTTATATATTCTGGATATGAGTCCTTTGTTGGATATCTAATTTGCAAATACTTTCTCCTAGGCTGTGGCTTCTTTTTGAAAATTCTGTTATAGTGTATTTTGCAGAAAAAAAATTTTAATTTTGATTAAGTCCGATATATAAATCTTTCCTCTTAGGAATCTTGCTTTTGGTGTCATGTCTAAGAACTATCTGCCTACCCTGATGTTCAGAATATATCCAGTGTTTTCTTCTAAAACCTTTACTTAGACCTACAATATATTTTGAGTTACCTCTGAATATAAAGTATGAGATTTAAGTCAATGTTCCTTTTTTCTGCGTATGGATAGACAACTATTCCAGCACTGTTTGTTGAAAAGGTTATCCTTTCTCCATTGAATTTCTTTAGCACCTCTGTCAAAAATCAAAAGGCCGTATGTGTGCCAGTCTATTGAACTCTTTAATCTGTTCCATTGATCTATATGTCTATGCCTTCACCAATACCACACTGTTTTTATTACGGTAGCTTTATTTTAATCTTAAATTTGAGTAATGTGATGCCTCCCCTGTTAGTCTTCTTTTTCAAAACTGTTTTTGCTACCCTAGTTCCTTTGCTCTTCCATATAAATTTTAAAATCAGTTTATTTGTATCTACAATATTTGCAATATAGCACATTCCTTTTTGGTAAAGGGGATAAGCAAGTGCCTGAGATGGGATGGAGGTTGTTGGTAAATATAGAAGGCACACTCTAGAAGTGAAGGGGATGGCAGTTAAAAAAAAGATAAAGGTCAAAAACTAAGAAGACAAATAACTGATCTGTTCTTAGCTCACTCTTTGTTATCAGAGTTCTAGTAGGTAATGAACAGCAGCATAGGGTTGTGTTGAGGTCCATGATGAACAATGAATTATTAGCAGCAAATGTGGACTCCTTCTCAAAATCACATGTGAAGAGCTCTCCAGAGACTGAAATGGAGAGGCAGTGGCACCACAGGTTTAGCAGTGCTCAACTGGGCACGAGAAGTACGTAATCAGAGATTGTTTCCTCTCCAAATAATGAGAGAATGATTAGCTTAATTCTCTTCATTTAAGATGGTCAGGACAAAATAATCTGATTTATAGATTTACCAATTACAAGACACACACAGAGCCAATTTCCAAAAACGTACATATGAAGTAAAAATGTTTTAATCCTAAAGCAGCATTCAACTGAATACTGTTTGGTGACCCAGAAGGTATTTCAAGACCCCAAAGTATCTTTGCATCATCCTTAGTGCATCAAAAAGGTTCTGCTTCTTTAACCTTGCTACAGTCTGAATTCTGGATGGAGGGGAGCTCTTTGTGAGCTTCTACCCTTTTCATGCGAGCCTAGGTTTCTTAGGTGGATTAAGTGAGCTGAACACAAATTCTGTGGGAGACAGAGATCCCAGATCTCCCAGTTTAAACACAGGTTTGCTCACCTGATTGTGAATCCAGAGAGCAGGAGGGTGGTTTGTGTATTTCACTGCCAATTCTATCATTCTCTCTTGTTCTAGCAGTCTGGGGCTGGAGCATATTGAGAACCCACCAACCACAGAGACTCCTGGGATAAAGAAGTCAACCCTAAAAGGAAAGGCAAGTAAATAACTATTGTTGAAGCAATTTTAAAAGTGGGTAGTAAGGTAAACAAAACTGACAAACTAGACTAAGAAAAAAGGAGAAACAAATAAAATTACTAAAATCAAGAATGAATGATGGGACATTATCACCAACCTCACCAAAAAAAAAAAAAAAAAGATTATAAAGGAATTCTATGAATAAGATAAAAAATTAGCTAACTCAGATGAAATGGACACATTCCTTGAAAGACACAAATTACCTAACTGGACTCAAGAAGAAACTGAAAATCTGAACAGACCCATAATAAGTAAATGGATTGAATTAGTAATTTTAAAACTTCCCACAAGAAAAGAATAGGTCCAGATGGCAGCACTGGTGAACTCTATCAAACATTTAATGAAAAATTAATGCTAATCTTTCACAAATACTTCCAAAAAACCCAGAAAAGAACCCTTCCCAACTTATTCTATGAGGTCAGTTACCCTGATACCAAAACCAGACAAAGCTATCACAAGAAAAGGAACTATAGATCAACATCCCTTGTGAATATAGATGCAAAAACCCCAGGAATACAAGATTGGTTTAACATATGAAAATCAATCCAATGAAATAAACCCACTTAACAGAATAAAGGACAAACCCATGTGATCATCTCAATAGATGCAAAAATGGCATCTGACAAAATTCAATACCCTTACATAATAAAAATACTCAACAAACCAGGAATAAATGTGAACTTCCTCAACATGATAAAGGCAACTATAAAATATCTACAGCCAACATCATATTTAACCTTGAAAGGCAAAAAACTTCCCCACTAAGAACAGAAGCAAGACAAAGATGTCTGCTCTGACCACTTCTACTCAACATGGTACTAAAGGTTCTAGCCAAAGCAATTAAGCAAGAAAATGAAATAAAAGGTATCCAGATTGGAGGGAAAGAAGTTGCAGATGACTTAATATTGTATATAGAAAATTCCAAGGAATTTACTATAAATATATTAGACTAATAAACAAGTTCAAATAAGGCTGCAGGATTTAAAATCAGTAATAAAAACCAATTTTACTTCTACACACTAGCAATGAACAATCTAAATGTGAAATTAAGAAAAATAATTCTATTTATAATAGAATAATAACTGGGAAGAGTCTTTAAAAGAAGTTTAAGATTTGTACACTGAAAACTACAAAACATTGTTGGAAAAAATCAAAGAAGATCTAAATAAACAGAAAGGCTTCTCATGCTCATGGACTAGAAGACCTAACACTGTTAAGATGGCATTAGTGCCCAAAGTGATCTACAGATTCAATACAATATCTATCAAACCCTAGCTGGTTTCTTTGCAGAAACTGACAAGTTGATCATAAAACTGATATGAAATTCAAGGAACCCAGAATCACAGAAGAATAAATTTGGAGGATTCATACCTTCAAAACTTATTATAAATCTACAGTAATGAGGACACTGTGTACTGGTGTAAGGAGAGGCATATATATCAATGGCAAAGAACTGAGAATCCAGAAATAAACTCTTAGATTTATGGTCAACTGATTTTCAACAACAATACCAACACAATTCAATGGCAAAAGAATAGTCTTTTCAACAAGTCATGCTGGTTTTGTAGTAATCTATAAGGGAAAAGAACCTGAAAAAGAATATATATACACACACACACACACACACACACATATAAATAACTGAATCACTTTGCTGTACACCTGAAACTAACACAACATTGTAAATCAACTATACTTCAATTAAAACAAACAAACAACAAGTGGTGCCGGGACAACTGAATAGCCACACAAAAAGAATAAAGTTGGACCCCTACCTCACACCATATACAAACTTTAACTCACATCACAGACTTAAATATAAAAGCTAAAATTATAAACTCTTAGAAGACTTACACAGGAGTAACTCTTCATGGCAACAGATACTTAGAAATGACACTAAAACACAAAGGTCAAAGAAAAAATGGAGAAACTAGACTGCATACAATGAAAAACTTTGTGCCACAAATGATACCATCAAGAAAAAGATGACCCTCAGAATGGGAGAAAATATTTTCAAATCATGTATCTAATAAGGGACTTGGATACACATTATATAAAGAACTCTTAACAAGTCAGTAATAAAAAGACAACTCAAGTAAAAAATGGGCAAAGGATTTGTACAAACGTTTCTCCAAAGAAGACATACAAATGGTTAATAAGTACATGAAAAATCCTCAACATCATTAGTTATTAGGGAAAGGCAAATCAAAATCACAATGGGCTATCACTTCACACTCACTTGGATGGATGGCTAATCAAAAAGACAATATCAAGGATCAGAGAAATCAGAACCCTTACACATCGCTGATGGGAATGTAAAATGGTCTTGCCACTTTAGAAAACAATTTGGCAGTGCCTGAAAATGTTAAACATATGTGACCAGCAATTCCACTCCTAGGTATATACCGAAGAGAAAAAAATATGTATGTCCACTCAAAAGCATGTACATGAATGTTCACAGCAGCATTATTGATAATAGTCTAAAAGTTTCAAAATAATCTAAACATTCATCAACTGATGAAGGCATAAACAAAATGTGGTACATCCACACGACGGAATTAAATACTGATCACATGCCACCACATCGATGAACAACAAAATTATGTTAAGTTAAAGAAACCAGTCACAAAAAAAGATCACACATTATATATTTCTATTGATATTAAATGTCCAGAAGAGGCAAATCTGCAAAGACAGAAAGTAGAACAGTGGTTGCCTAAGAGGGTGAGGATGGGGACTGAATGATAATTAGTGCAGAGTTTTTTTCTGGGATGATGAGAACGTTCTAAAATTTGTCTGGGCTGATTGATCACTGTAGTTCTGTGAATATACTAGAAATCACTGAATTGTACACTTTAAATGAGGGAATTTTATGATATGTAAAGTATATCTCAATAAAAGTTTTTAAAAAGTGTGGGGAAAAAAATGGCAACAAACACTCTCTCACTGGCATTTGAAAAACTAAACAGGCTGATGCGGGCTCCTAAGTTCCAAGAGTCTCATTTTCCTTCTTCTCTTCTAACCATTCTCCTGTAGTCGAGAACTCTTGTGAGTTCTTCTACTGAAATGAATTCTATGCCACAGAAACTTTTTGGGGGAGGGGGGCTGGGGGGGTGATTCTAGGAAATGCAACAAATCTAGTCACATACCAAGGAAAGGGAAACTCTTTAGAAACTGGGACCACAGGAAATTCTCATCTCCATGTCCAGAAAACTCAAATATCCCATATAGCTGCTTCTCAGCCATCAAAGAGCAATAGTATTAAAAAAAAGCAATAGTATCATTTCTCTCCAGTTGCTTCCCTACCAGCAGGCTTACACGAAAAGCACTTGACGTTCTCTCCTGATTTGATCTATGTATGGCCTTAAAAGATGTTCTCTTCTCATCTCTGGCCTTAGATATCTGGCCATTTTTTTATAGTCTTAGAAAACCAGTTCTGGACTGGAAGTGCTCCAGAAAAGGTCCCCAGGCTGTTTTCGCATTTATTCACTTCCTTCTTTCCCATGAATATTCTAATTCCCCTTCCATTTCAGACAAGATACAAATTTTAAAAGACTATAGCTAACATTTATTAACACAGTTGCTATATGCTTTCAGAGAAGAGGTAAATGGCATCTCCATAGCTTCTGTGTTTAAAAAAATTAATCTCTGAGCTACTTTTGCTGCTTTATCTCCTGAACTATAGCACCCTCTGCTGCTTGATGTTGATAAAGACCTTTCTCTCAGGTGTCCCTCTTCTCTAGTAACTCTGGAAACCCTTTGCCTTTAAAAGGACTCCTTCATGAAATGCTACAGAAGAACCTCATCTGAATGGACTTAAGAAAATATGTACAATACGTATTTAATAAAACATCTTTCTAAGAAAGAATTAAGTTTTAAACACACAAGCGCGCGCACATGCACCCCTTTAAAAATGCCCTCTGCAGGATCAGCAACCAGATGAGTGAGTACGTGAAGAGCGGAGAGAAAAGACCTAATTCTGTAGTGAAGCGCACATATCCACATCCAATGTGACACACCAGGCAGCCCCATCCTGCCCCAGGGCCCAGAACAGAGCAGGCACACAAACCACAGCCGAACGACAATGCTTTAGCCGTCAGCTACCGTACTCGGCAAACGCGACAGACGGCATCTGCCCACCATGAACAGGCACTGGGGTTGGTGTTGCAGGTAAAGATGCAAGTATGTCTTGGTTCCTGCCCTCAAAAAACTCCCAAGTGGGAGGAAAATTAACAAATAAACACGATTAATGGGGCTATGAAAAACTCTGCTTGGCAGAGAGAAAACGCTCATCATTTGAGATCTGTCTGGAAGTACCTGTACTTAGTATAGGTTTCTTCTTAGCTCCAACATATGTGATCCTGATTTTCTCAGGCAAATAACTAATAAAGCTGCTGCTTTACTTAAAAAAAAAAACTTGCTTGGGGGGTGGGACGTGGGGAGGGGAGGCGAGGAAGAAGTAGTCAATTCCACTAGGGGTGGAGGAATTAGGAAGGACTTCACTGAGGAGTCCTGAAAGACAGTGCTCATCAGACAAGCACTGGAGGAGGACACCATCTGAACAAAGATGCCAAGGAACGCAGCACTACCTCAGCGTGGCCCTGCGAGTCAGGGCTGTGAGGCCGTCTCTATATACGTCTACAGCGCAGCTGCCCTGCCAGCGGGTGGCGGGGGGGGGGGGTGGGGGGAAGAGTCCTATTTCTCTAATCTTGCTCCTCTAATCACTTTCTTCTCAGTGTCCTCCTCTCTTAGTACAGCCCAGTCACTTGCAAGCATAAAACCTTGTGTTATCTTGTACGAAGTCAGAGACACACCTTTCTCTCTCCAAAAAACGCCTGGGCCTTGCTCGCCTGGGTGCGTTCTGTGCACAGCCCAGGTGCGGAGCACACACTGACTGCACACAAGGGACAGCATCACAGGGAGTGGAGCTGTGCACTGGCCCACTCC